ATACAACTTAATTATTTATTTAATTACTAACAATTACAAATATTTCTAATAATTTTATTTTTTATATATTTAAAATTTATTTCAGAAAATTGTTTTAATACAACTTAATTATTTATTTAATTACTAACAATTACAAATATTTCTAATAATTTTATTTTTTATCTATTTAAAATTTATTTCAGAAAATATTTTTTAATACAACTTAATTATTTATTTAATTCCTAACAATTACAAATATTTCTAATAATTTTATTTTTTATCTATTTAAAATTTATTTCACAAAATTTTTTTAATACAACTTAATTATTTATTTAATTCCTAACAACTACAAATATTTCTAATAACTTTATTTTTTATATATTTAAAATTTATTGCACAAATGTTTTTTATTTATCTTGTACTAACCTAACGCTTTAACTTAATTAATGAACTAGGAATGACTTAAATTACTAATGTTTTCAATAAATTGTGAATTACTTAAGTAAATTAACAATTAGTAGCTACACTAATAACAATAACAATAACAATTTAAATAACAACATAAAATAAAATATAACAATTATATTTTCTAACTAAAAAAATTAACAATAAATTAAAGTAAGTAAATTAACAATTAACAATCAAATTAATTCAATCAACAACTAAAATAAAAATAACACGAAATTAAAAAGTTAACAATAATATTCAATTAATCAATAATTAACAACAACATTAACATAACAATTAACAATTAATATTAAATTAACAATTAAACATTTCAATTAACTATCACAATTTACACTAAAATAACACACAAAATAAATTTTAATTAAATAATCAAATTAAAAAAACACATGCAATGAACAATCAATTCAATAATTAAACTAGCAATAATAAGTAATTAAACAAAAAATTAAAAAAAAATCTAATTATTTGACATAAATAAATAACTGAAAAAATTAATAATTAAAAGGATGGTTTAGATTTAGGTGGACCTGTCACCAAGAGAAGGAGGGGCAACGAACCGCCGGTAAAAATTCCTCATTGGAATATGGTCATCGGAAAACGACAGCTTCAACGACAGAGAGAAAACTTGAAAGGAGGAGGAAAAGAGGGAAGAAATATGGAGATTTTAAGGAAACAATAGCTTTGAGGAGAGAGAGCAGAGGATTGGTGAAAAAAAGGCACAGATGTCATTGCTGATGAGGAGGAGAAGAAAGCAAAAATGGGCAGATTTCGTTCGATCGGTATTTATAGAAAGGTAAAGTTTTTAGCGACGGTCACGTGACCATCGCTAAACTTAAATTCGAAATTAAATTTGACCGTTTCTCACAAACGGTTTACTTTTAGCGACGTTTTAGCGATGGTCTAATGTAACGTTTCCAACGGTTATTTTTACAACCGTTAAAATAAAAAAATTAAATTAAATTACCGATGGTTTAGCGATGGTCCGAGACCATCGCTAAACCAAATTATTTTTCGGGTTTATTTGGCGACGTTTTAGCGACGGTCTAAACCCGTCACTAATGTAACGTTTGCAACGGTTAATTTTGCAACCGTTAAAAAATAATAATAATAATTACCAACGGTTTAGCGACGGTCATAGGCCATCGCTAAATCGAAATATTTTTTCGAGGTTGATTTGGTGACGTTTTAGCGACGGATCTCGACCGTTGCTAAAAAGAATATTTTGGCAACGGTTTATCAACACCAAACCGTTGCTAATCTTCATTTTGGTAACGGAATAGCTACGGTCTATGACCGTTGCTAAATTTATTTTTTATTTAGGAATTTTTTTTAATAAAACTGTTGAAAAAATATTAAATAACATTTACCAACGGTTTAGCAACGATTTTTTAAATATGAAAACCGTCGCTAAAATGGTTAGCTTATAACATTAGCAACGGATTGGTACACCGTTGCTAAAAAACCGTCTCAAATTTTAATATTTGTAACCATTTTTTAGACCCTCGCTAAAGTATGAAAAATCATTGCTAATATATGTATTTAGCGACGGTTTGTTGACCGTCGTTAAATATCCGTCGCTAAAACACATTTTTGTTGTAGTGTTAATTATCAAATATCAAATATCTATTATTATAAAAAAAAATTGATAATTAATCTTATTATTTTATAACGTTGTATGCAGAATTATTATTTTTGACAATAATGATTATTTTTATAATATTTTTTAAATAAAAAAGTCAAATTATTTAAATAATCATCATTTTCTTGTGAAATTGTATGAAAAATCTGAAAAATACTATTAATTATTGGACTATGAGAAACTAGCAAGAATGGAAAATAAAAGTACAAAATAAAAATAAAAATAAAAAAAAACAAAGAAAAAAATTGGGTCCAGACGCAAGCCAGGCCTGGATGAGCTCGGCCTAGGAAAAAAAAAAGAAAAGAAAAAAAAGAAGCAGATAGTGTGCTGTCTGCACGGGCTGACGAATCGCCACACTTGCAACCTCCGACACCAAAATTAGGGGCCATCGGTTTTGCCCCACCCCCTCCCAAAATAAGATTTTCCATCATTTTTACCTCCAAATACTACAAAGTCATCTTCACAACATCTAAAAACCATTTTATAGTCTAGAAACGCATCTCAATTCACTTTAGAAACTCCTAAAAAAATCCAATAAATTTTTTAGGCCATCCCGATCTCTTTTTTTTTTTTTTTTATTTTAATGCTAAAACCACCACCAACAAACTCTCTTCATAAATACTAACACAGAGACATTAAGATTTTTGGATTAAATGGCTAAAACGAACCTCTTTAGAGTTTTCTCTCTTCTTTCTTTCTACGTTCATAGACCGAAATGTATTACAAGTGAAGTTCATAGAACATTCAAGAAAGAATCTAAAAATCTAAGTATCAAAGTGAATATATATTTTCAAAAAAATCATTTAAATTTATTAGAAAACGATATCTTTGGATAAACTATATAGTACAGTATACAATCCACGGTGCAACTTAATTTGGTGTCATAATATATTTACATTAAAACAACATTTTTTTTTACTTTTTTGTTGTTAATATTTTTTGGCGTTAATACCTTAATATGTCTTAATATGTCCTTATATAATAGGTCATTTAAATATGTGATTTGTATATGGGATGTAATTTAATAAAATTATATTTATAATTTGATACAAGTACTCTATATTTACTAATATAAAGATTAATTTTTTAAAATTTTGACAAAAATAAAAATAAATTAGAAATAATATCAAAATATAATGACATACTGAATGCTTCTTTTTTTTTTTTTACTTAAGAAATAAATTAAAAAATTAAATTTATTATATAAGGATATTAACCTTATTTTTTGAACGCAATCGATAGTTAAATTTGGGAAAACAATCTAACGAGATATCATGTAGTTCAGTATTTGCGATTTGAACAAGGATATGAAGACATGTGACACCGAGAGATGGAAAGCTCTGCTTGTTTCACGTAGAAATATTTACGTTGAAAAATGTTTTTCTGAAAGATATATTATTTGTGAATGTTTTGGCTATGTTATTGAAAATTAACGAGTGTCGAGAAAGAAAAGATAATGATCAATTAACGGTGGGGCTTAGGCTTAATTATAAAGATGATTTTATAAAATATTTTCGTTTTTCGAGAAGTATATATATAAATTGTTTCTTATTCCGAGTTTGTTTTCCCTTCACTCGCAAAATATTTTTCAGTGTACAAATTTTTCTAGGTGAACCAAACATTAAAAGACGAGAATATTATTTTAAGAAAAAAAACATATTTCTTGTGAAACAAACAAACTAATTAAGTTTTAAGAAAGTTGGTACTAAAACTAGAATTGGCCAAGTACTTTGGCAATGGGACCACAAGTCCACACTTGCGTATGAACAAACTAAAACCCAAATATTGTTAGAGCATGCATGTGAACATTACAACCATCTGAGAAAAAAGCACAATTCATGTGGGTGCAATCTACAGAAGAAAGAAAAGACAAGTGTTGTTTCTGTCCTGAAAAATCAATTACCTTTGCCTGTCCTTGAGTGCCGACTTTTGACTCAGCATGCATTAACCTGTTCGTCCACCAGCCATAGGTTATAATGATTCACATGGTTTAAATATATATATATATATATATATATATATATATATATATATCAAATAAATATTCCGACCCTAACAAAATAAAATGCATCAGGTATTTATTATATGCCTGGAGACCAAATTATGATGCATGGTTTTCCATCAGAGACCGTACGTGAAGGAAGTCTGTGTATATATAATAGTGCTATCAATTAATTACATCTACTGATCACTAATAACAGTTGTTTTCCTTCATGAACATATATAATAATGTGGTTGGGAACAATTATTCAACCAAACAAAGCATGCACTTGGCCGATCAGTGTATGTTTCATCCAATTGCTTTGCAGGTTATTACCACTACAACAGAAATTATTAAATATAAATATTAATAGTTGTATTTCGAATCGTTCCATATAAATATAAAATCCATTGTGAAAACTATTTACATGTTTTTTTGTTATATGATATAAGAAAGTATAATTTTTTATATATTGAATAATTATTACCATTATACATTACCATCTCATAAATAAAGTTAGCTGTAGAATATATTGTCCCCTTAACTGGGGAATAATTATTAGGAATTAGCTAGTAAACAAAATTTTAAATTTAAAGAATGTAAAAGGAACGTTTGGAAATACTCCATTGTTTGTTCCAAGAAAGCAGGATCAAACTACCTCTTTCTTTACTTTTTTTCGTTTTGTTACATTATGTTAATTCTTTGCTTAATTCCGTTTGAACAAAAAATAAAGATTATTCATTATCATACTACCAATCTCATAAAAAAGAGTTCACATTTACATATCGTGTGTGTATACATATATATATATATGGCAGACTAGCTAATTGATTAATTAGCTTGATTAAACAGCTAATGATTAACACACACTTGCATGCTAGTGTTTCAAAAAAAAAAACCCTCCGGATGAGTATGCATGCATGTGTCAACAGCTCAGGTTGACCATTGAGGAAATGGCGATGGCGATGATGATGACGATGCTGTTCCAGATGGCCACAACTGCGCGTTCTTCACTTTGGAGAGGCTTGCAAGCACGCCTAAAGGGGTCACATCTCCTATCACTGTAACTCTCTTTGTCGCCAAATCTATGCTGAAAGATGTAACTCCTGCACAAATTTTCAAAGCATGGATACGTCATTAATCAATTAACGGAAATTTAGTAATTGCAAAAAAAAAAAAAAAAAAAATTCAATTATTGGTTGAATGCTTAAAAATGTCTTTTTGGTTAACAAATTAAGAGCTTTTTCTCCTTTTCGTAGTAGTAACCTTCCATTTTGGAGATATGTTTCCTCACTTTTCCTTCACATCCTTTGCAATGGATGGAAACCCACAAAACCACAACCTGAAAATTTTTTAGCAAAGAATTAATTAACATTAAGCTCGAAAAATGAAAATTTGAAGTTGCTTGTCTATCTTAAATGATCAGCTGGTCCATCAAGAGGTCTCAAGATCAAGTCTTTTCTTAGGAAAAAAATATACTATGGATATATGTACGTAGTGATCACTTGTTAATGAACTTATGTAGAAACTAATTAATTGACAACCTGGTGACGGGAACTTGTTGACGAAGAAGATCTTAAAGCAGGAGAATGATCATTTGAGCTCATATGCCTGGGCTTATTTCCAGTTTCAGACCCATTGTCGGCCTCTGAAACCCAGTCACGAGAGCAAACCAATGAAGAAGATTTCCGTGCAAGAAAATCAATTGAACTATTTGTATGCCTCGGGTTTGCACGTTGAGTACTAGCTGGAACCATTGCAGGGACGACTTCATGATGATCAGACTCCGAAATCCAATCAATATAAGGTGCTGTATCGCTTAGAAGATACCTGGAGGAGGAAGCTGCTGCAGGGCGACTTTGCAGATCACTTATATCAGCAGAGCTTTTTCTACGCAAATCACTTTGCTTAACAGAACTGTTCACTGATCTACTATCCTCAGCAGAGCTTTTCCTATTTATATCTCTTTGCTTAGCAGAACTTTTCCTGCTCTTCTTGTAATTGTTAGGACTGCTGGGGCTAATGGGAAATTGAGATGAGCAAGCTGGTGCATAATTAGATTTAGAGCTCCGCCGCTCAATGGGTCTAGTTCCATGGCGCACTATGGAACGATGGTCTAGGCTTGAGCAAATGGCTGTGGAAGCTGGAGAAGCACAGAAAAGATCCATTACTTTCATGTTTTTGGACCAAGCAAAGGAGGCTCGTCAGTCAATACTAATACTTGTTGGTATTTGAGATGAGAAAAAGAGATAAATACAAAAATCTTCGTAATGATACCAACTAATCTGCTTTTTTAAAGTTGGTGTGGATGCGACACATAAAAAAGAAAAGAAAACGAAATGGTCCCTTCAGAAAAAGGGAAAAATTTTTTTTTTGAATAATAAACTTTGGAACTTACTCGGAAGGTGTAGTATTAATCTGGATTGGATTCTGGACCTTCGAAATTAAATTGCAATCAACTTTCAATTATTTGGTCTTAAGATATTTGAGGTGGGGTTATCGATCCTTTATCAGTCATGATGACTCCCAGTACTGGCCGATAACTAGAGCATGTTCCCGATCACCCTTTTTCTTTTTCAAGGAGGGACTGTAATTTAAATATATGAGTTTAGTCTTCTGCATTTTATATATGTAAATTTTCATAGGTTTTACATGCATTTACATCCGACTTATATACTCGTACTTGTTACTTGCATCCGATCTGTATTCCCTCAGCCGGTTGAGTAAGGCAGAGGTTTATTCCATCTATGAAATACCCAACCAACTAGAGTCTTTTAATTAATCAATAAAATAATTTACATTTCTTTTTTTTTTTCCCAAAACTATATAATAATAAACTGGAATAAGAGAATTTTATGTACTCAATAATCTTATTTAAATAATTCATGCGTACAATATTAATACTACATACTCACTCTGTATAAAGTATTAATCTCTTTTGATTTTTTCAGGCAGTTTTTTTTAAAAAAAATTAATTGTTATGATATTTCAGTCATTTTGTCCTTATTTTTCTAACATATCTTTCCATCCTATTAAATTTGAGTTTCAATTTTTTTTTTAAGATAAAAATATTTTAGAAAAATATAATATTTAAAGTTTTGAATAGACAATTGGAGTATAATTTAAGAATATAAAATAATTTCATTAAATTATAGTAACTAATGATTAGTTCGAGTAGCTAGTGGCGAAGCTCAAGCAATTTTTTATCAAAGACTACAATCTTTTCTTTTCCTTCTTTTTTTTTTTTTTTTATATATACGCATCAAATATTGTATAAAGTTGATGTAACTCCCCCAACCTAGGACCTAAAAGATTGAGAATATTACCATCGTTAACCTATATTCGAAGTGCAATGAATACAAGCTAAAAAGGCACCGTGACTTAATGTCTAGAGTGAAATCTGTATCTTAGAAATTTAATATTGGTCGTGTACGTCATATACTTTAACTTAAAAGACGTTATAAAATTTTCGCGTTTGATTTATTTATTTGGATACTTGAAACTAGATTCGAGGTTAATTCCTAGTTCAAATCCTTTCTTTACTAACTATTGTAATTCATTGAGATGTAATTTCTTATTATCGGTTATTATTATATTACTTATTCTCTTTCATATTTACTATTCTTTTTATTTAACGGTTAATTAAGAAATTTTCTTAAATATTCAACGATGCTAGCATGCGATGGACAATTTAAAGTAATTATACTACTATCCGTACGTTATCATTTTACTATTAGTATTTCGGTTCATACAGAGTTACTAATTTACATACAAAACTACTTATATACCAATTATTAAAAAAATTGACTTATTTACTAACTACATTCGTTTAAAGTACTACACTTACTTGTTCATTAATTCTAATATAACATAACACAGTCCGACTAATTCTAGAACATGCAAGTCAATAGCTAGTACCGTAAATAAAATCACATATAGTACGTCCACTGGATCTCGAAGCCCCATCCAAGGTATAACCGTCCGGTGCATTCCTCGAAATCAGCTCCGTAGAGAAGTAAGCCATAGTATCTTATTTATCTACACCACAAGGAACTATATGAGCTACATCCTAGTAAGTTAACGTATGCATGTAGTGTGCATGTACGCATGTATAAAATACCGATACATACATAAGAAATCCCTTTTCTCATGTCATAAAACATCTCAAAAATAGTTTGAAAATCTTTTTTCTGTCTTTGGATATGTCCCATTTAGGTAATTCGGAGTTTTCATAACTTATTTCCGACGAACCGGACTCGTCCACGAACGCGTCCTACCAAGCCTCCGAAAGTACATGTCCGCACTTGTCCGACCCCGAACCAATACCATTACCATATGGAAAACCCATGAAGCCCATCCTCATAAAAATTCTCCAAGTCATGAAAACCCTTTTCTTTAAAATAATTTCGATCGCTATCGAAAACTCATAACATCATATACGTTTTCATGACTTAAAACATTATTCATGGGCTTTGGCATGCATATGCATTTTGAATGACAATGCATGCTCGTAATGATACCCAAGTGTATGTCCTAAATGATCGTGTAACCATATTATGAAAACATGTATAAAATCAACCAAGCATAAAGGCATAGATAACATCAACTCATATCAAGCAAGTGTAACCAACGTTGGCGCATCGGTTACCATAATCACAGTTCTCATCACCAATCACAACTCAAGCATAACCATCATTCATTATTCATTGCATTCCATACATTATTTGGAAGAAAATACAATCATAGCATAAGAGTAAGTAAATAATTACATTTCATTTTAGTTTCATTAACTTACTCTACATTTTAACATTTTCAAATTATTTTCTTTAGGTTGCTAACTACCCTTTTGCATCTAGCCTTTACCAAATTAGGTATTAATCCATGTTCTAACTTAATTAGGTATTATTTCATTAATTAGGTGGTCCAACTTCGATTTGGGCCTTAATGGGCCTAAAGTCTAATTTTTCCTAAATCAATTTTTCTTTAGATTTTTATGAACACTTTGGTTCTAAATCATCCCTTTACCTTATTTTGCACTTGAATGAATTAATTTAGGGTTTGGAACTTACTTTAAACTTACTTTCCAAAATTCCTCATTTAGGCCAAATATTTCACCATTTAAATTCCTAAGATTTTCTTCTTATTTTTCCCTACCATTTTAATAACAAGTAGCCTAAATATGTACTCACTATAAGAATCAATTTAATTAAAATTTAGAACCCTAATTCCTTCCCAAACCCGTATTGGGCCCTAATGGGCCGAAATTGGGCCCAAGCCCATATAACCCATTTTCTTCAATTTTTAGAAAATTTTTCATTTATACTCATCAAAACATACTTATTCAAGTGTGAATGACCCATCGAACTATAATCAAATTGCTTTGAACTCAAACCCTAATTTGCGTAGTTTAGGTCGAATATAACTCCTAAAAATTAGTGGATTTTTCTTCAATTAAAGTATAATTTTTCATTCTTAAACATTAATTCATGCTCAAATAAGTCAGAATAAAGTGTCAAAACACTAATTAAATGAAAGAATTCAAAACCCCCAAATTTGGTTCATCAAAAACCATAACCCTAATTTTTCTTAATTGAGCTATTAAATCAAATCAAGCAATTAAACATGAAATTGACTTGAAATTAAGCATGCTTGTGGTGTAGGTGAGGTTAACTTACTTGATTTAGCTCCAAATTAACCTTGAAAAGGTAGGTTGCTTGAGAATTCTCTTCCTCCTTTTTTTCCCCTTAAATTTGAATTAGCTCTTTTAATTTTCTTCTTGAAGGTATTCAGCTCCCAACTTGAAATTAAAGCTTAATCCACTGATTTAGAGGGTCTAAAATTGGTTAGGATTATTTTGGGTAATTTTTGAGTGAAAATTTTGCTAGAATTTCCTTTGTGTTTTTCAATTTTCCTTCCCTTTTTAATTTTTTCAGCACCCTTATTTATAAGAAAATTTTGTGGATTTGTTAGCCTTATCTCTACCCTTAATTTGGATAAACCTCAGCCCTTAATTCAATTTTCAATCAATTCTTTTTATTTGGCTAAATTTTTGGCCATTTGTACTTCTTTTTGTTTAAGCCTTCCATTTAGCTTAATTTCAGCCACAAAATTTACTGGAAGTCATACTTATTAATGCTTTAGGTTGACCAAAGTTGGAAGGAAAATGACAAATTTTGGTCCTCCAAGTTTCTAGACTTTTCCATAGCCTATTTTTCCTAAATCCCTCTTTTATGAAAAAACTCACTTCTAATCCTCCCTTTTCCATTTTTAGGACTCATTTTTTACACTTAAAATTCCCACATAATTTAATTTGGATTATTAGACTTTTAATTTTATGCAATTTAGTCCCTACTTTTAAAATTCCGTACTATACTTTTCAAAAATCCAATTTATTTTCATAATAAATTTAAAAATTTATTAAGGGAGTTTATTTAAAATTTTAATAATTTTTGGACGTCATTTGAGTTGCTACATTAATTATTTAGTGTGAAAATCACAATATTTCCTATTAAAAATATTCCCTATACTTAATAAAATTAATTTAAATTTTCTAGGCACTCTCACACATCCCATATGATTATTCTATGCTCTTAAAAAAAACTCCTCATACTCTTAAGGTGCCTAATTAAATTCTTTACCTCTAAAAGCACTATTCCAACACACCAAAATTCCAATAAAATATTCATAGCACATAATAAAATTCACCCAAGCACATAAAATAATTCAACACCCCTATAAAAATTATTCTAAGTACACAAACTATTTTTCATTCATAAACAATATGTTTTAATTAATTATTTCATGCAAAAAACTAATATTTATGTACCGTAAAATCAATAAAATATCCCTTAAGCATAGAAAAACTATTTTAACTATTATATATATTCATTGAAGTTCCTAAGGATTATTTCACACCTTTAAAATATGTATCCCTTGTGTTTAATATTAAATTTTTATTTAATTTCAGTTTCAACGGATACCGGTTATTACGATTGATTTTTCTTAACCATTAATTGAATCCTAAATTAGAGGGTAAAGTTTATTATAATTCTTCATTATATTACGCATGCAATATATGTAGATAGATAGAAACATACTCAATGAATAATTTAATATCAAATAAGCATGGTTAAAAAAATGGTATCCATAAATCATCTAAAATTTGAAA